TACATGTGCATGTGATGATGCTGCATCATCAACCATTAAAAATTATATACATTTTAATCAGCCTGATAATTTTGGTATAATGGTAAGTGAAAATATGAGAATACAAAATTGTACCTATGCTATAATTACCATAATATAAAAAATTATATAAATGGACAAGAACTAGAAGATCCACACAAAAAAGCTGTTGTTGGTTTTCGTGTGTGTGTATGACAGGGTCCCACTCTGTCATCCTGGCTGGAGTGCAGTGGTGCAGTCTCAGCTCACTACAACCTCCACCTCCTGTGATCAAGCGATCCTCCCTCTTCAGCCTCCAAGGTAGCTGGGACTAGAGGCATGTACCACCACGTCTGGCTAATTTTTTATATTTAGTAGAGACGGGTTTCACCATGTTGCCCAGGCTAGTCTCAAACTCCTGGACTCAAGCCATCTGCTCGCCTCAAAGTGCTGGGATTACAGGCACGAGCCACCTCACCTGGCCAAGATCTACAAAAAACGTTTTGATTTGTTAGAATGTTGGTACTATGGTGAGTTTACTTTCTTTTAACTTTCAATAACATTGTTTTATAAGAATAACAATAATAAGGAATGTTTGAAAGTACCTTTAGAAATTTCAACAGTATAGTTGCATCCTGCTGTTTCTGCTGTGTAGAAGCTATACTAACTATGCACTATGCACTTACCCTAAAACTAGGTCCTTTGAGAGACTTAGTGTCATTGAATGAAGTAGAACGCTATTGGATAAGGATTAATTTCACAGCTCTGTAATAAGACAGATCTGAGTTAAATTTCATCCCTATGGCTGAACAGCTGAGTGAGCTTAGGCCAATTATTTAACTTCTCAGAGCTTCAGTTTCCTCATTTGTAAGTCAGAAATCACAGTTGTAGCTATTTCACAGGGTTTTCTTAAGGAATAGTAAATAAGAAAATGAATGTTGATGTTTCCTTGACTACCCCACCCAGATTGTCACAATTATATTAAATATTTAATATACTAATTCGTTGTTTAATGTCTGCCTCTCTAAGACATATCTATTGTCTTACAAAATAAGCTGCACTAAAGCATGGAGTATTGCATTGCTTTCCTAGCATCTAGGGCATTACTTTGCACACAATAAGCACTCAATGAATGTTTATATGAATGTATAAAAACCTTAGATGGGTGGTCAGTGGTAGCTTCAACTACAGAAAAGTTACTGAATTTAGTCCTGGCACAGGGAAAAGACCTAAGCAGCATGGCATTGGCTTCAGCTGTCATAACAGGACTGCCACATCGAATTATGAATACAGTCCTCTCACAGTATCTGTGGGGGACTGGTTCCAGGACTACCCCCTTCAAGATACCAAAATCTATGGATGCTCAAGTCCCTCATATAAAATGGCATAGTATTTACACATACTATACACGTCCTCTTGTATATTTTAAATCATCTCTAGATTACTTGTAATACCTAATACAATGTAAATGCTAGATAAATTGTTGTTATGCTTTACATTTTTTATTTTTTGTTGTTGTGTTATTTTTGGTATTTTTTTCAAATATTTTTGATCCATAGTTGGTTGAATCCAAGGATGTAGAACTTGGGGATACAGAGGGCCATCTGTATTGTTCTCTGTACAAAGATGTCTGGCCAAGAAGGAAGTGGAGACTGAAATCTGAACCATGGACATGGGGAGAGGGTAAAGGGTTTAGGATGCACAGGGAATCTACCTGGAAATAGATATGCATTTTGATAATTCCCCTAAAGGTACCACCAGTTAAGTGAACAGTGGCCTTGTGTCACAGAATTGGTCCTCCAACCTCAGAAATATAAAATCCTGCGAGAATACATTAAAGGCTTAAGATGGGACATGGAACATGACCAGATGGAAAGCCCTCCGATTTAGTGGCAGTATTTTCCTTGTCCGAGCAAGCAATGTAGCCTCATTCGCCACTCCTCTACTCCCCCAAAGCTCTCTCTCTGGTGTCTCATCTGAAACCTTTAGATGGAGCTGAGAGGAAGACTATTTTTCCACTGGAGGACATGAGTCAGTGAACAGTGAGGTTACACTTAATCACCACCCAAAAACAAGGTCCTTAAAATCAGGAGCTAGAAAAGCAAGGAAGTGATTAATATAAAAGTCAGCATAGTGATTATCCCTTGGCCAGGGTAGGGCAGGACAGGGTGGGATGGGGGCAGGGGACCTGATGGGGCAGGGGTCTTGGGGGATCTGACAGTTTCTTGACTTGGGTGGTGGTTGCACTGCTAATGGTTGCTTTACAGTTATACTTAGATGTTTTATGTACTTTTCTAAATGTGTATTATATTGAACAATATTAAGCAGCTTAAAAAAACTATAACAAGTTTTTAAGCAGAGAAAAAATGACCAGATTTGGCTGGGCGCAGTGGCTCACGCCTATAATACTAGTACTTTGGGAGGCTGAGGCGAGTGGATTACCTGGGTGGCTAGACCAGCCTGGTCAACATGGTGAAACCTTGTCTCTACTGAAAATACAAAATTAGCCAGGCGTGGTGGCTCATGCCTATAATCCCAGCTACTTGGGAGGCTGAGGCAGGAAAATCACTTGAACCAGGGAGGTGGAGGCTGCTGTGAGCCAAGATCGTGTCATTGTATTCCAGCCTGGGTGACAAGAGCAAAACTCCGTCTCCAAGAAAAAAAAAAGACCAAATTTGTATGATTAAAAGAGCACTTGGGTGTTGAACTGAAAATTGATTGAAGGTGGGGCAAGGCTAGATGCAGAGAAGCCAGTTAGGAAGTAGCTGCTATATTTTAGTGAGAAACTACAATGACTTTAGCTGAGAAAAGGTAAAATATTAGGGATATAGTCTACATTATTATTATTATTTTTTTTTTTTTGAGACAGAGGTTCATTCTTGTTGTCCAGGCTGGCGTGCAACAGCTGTATCTCGGCTCACTGCAACCTCTGCCTCCCGAGTTTAAGCAATTCTCCTGCCTCTTGAGTAGCCTCTTGAGTAGCTAGGATTACAGGTGCCCACCACCACGCCCAGCTAATTTTTGTATTTTTAGTAGAGATTTCATTATGTAGGGGTTTCATTATGTTGGCCAGGCTGGTCTCAAACTCCTGAGCTCAGGTGATCCACCCACCTCGGCCTCTCAAAGTGCTGGGTTTACAGGCGTGAGCCACTGGACCTGACCAGTCTGCATTATTTTTAGAAACACAACCAAAATAAAACAGAGGCCCGGCACTGCCCCTCAGCCCACTTTTTACATCTATGCCTTGGGTTACTTTGGCTTAGGAATTATAGTGCAGGGGCAGGGACATGTATACACATGTGCTAGAACCTCCTCCTTAACTCCTTTCAGGTAACTCTACCAGAGGGGCTCAGACTGCTCAGCCAGTGGCAGTGAGAGCACATTTTTCATAGTACCACAAGATTATCCACGTTGAGCTGACATCGGAGTTCCTGTCATAATATCTAATCACTCAATAATATCTAATTACTCAAGACATTCAGAGTGTTTTCACATCTATTATCTGGTACCAGAGTGTTAGCTCCAAGAGGCAAAGGTTTTGGTTCTTTTTGTTCACCGCTGTATTTTTAGTGCTTAGAACTGAACTTGGTACCTACTAAGTGTTCAATAAATAGTACTCAGTAAATGACCACATTTAATTATTGTTATTGATATTTAATCATCACAACAATCCTGTGAGGATAGGTAGGACATTAATTATTATCCCCATTTTATAAGTTAGAAAACAGAAAGATTTAAGAACATGTCAAATACTTGGTAATTTGGTGAAAAAAATCATGATTAAATTTCAGGTTTGTACTTCAGTTCTCCCTTTCCCCCCCATTTCTTCACAGCTGAAGAGCTAAGGTTTAAAATTCTTATATCTCTGAAACACCAGCTGTAAGTATTCTAAATACATGATAGGTACTATTAGACACCCTATGTTATCTGATGTCTCAGCTTGTAGGGTGCATGAGGCCTACCCCGCTGCCATTGCATCAATAATCACAGTTCTCTCAAAGGAGATGCATTGTTCTTCTGGGTAATCTAATCCACCCAACCTGAACCTATCTTGTATTCATGTTTCTCTCTGTGACCTACGCTTGTCTCTACTCTCCATCCTAGCCGTTCCACTTCTCCAAGCAAAAGAAGTTAAGGAAGGCCTGTTATTGAAAAAACACGTTATAATATATTTTTCATATGAAAAAGAAAAGGAAAATGATGGCCAGAAATAGTGGTTCATGCCTGTAATCCCAGCATTTTGGGAGGCGAGATGGGAGGAGTGCTTGAAGCCAGGAGTTTGAGATGAGCCTGGGCAACAAAGCAAAGCTCGTCTCTCCAAAAAAAAAAAAAAATTTTTTTTTTAATTAGCCAGGCATGGCGATACACACCTGTGGCCCCAGCTACTCAGGAGGCTGAGGCAGAAGAATCACTTGAGGCCAGGAGTTCAAGGCTACAGTGAACCATGGTTGCACTGCTGCACTCCAGCCTGGGTGACAGGGTAAGATCCTGACTCTTAAAAAAAAAAAAAAACTGTGGCAGTGGGTAGTTTTGGTGCTCTTCAAAAACCTTTGTCAGCCAAATGGAATCCCAAGGGGAGGCTAAAAATGTAATATTGTATGAAAAGTTAACATTGGTCTCTTTCTTCTTAATATTAATTAAAATTAGTAATATGAAGCATAAACCACAACTCAGATATCTGGATGATATCTGGGGAAATCTGGATGTTCAATTAATATTAGTGGTTTTATATCTGGAGTTGTATATGTCTTCTGTAGGATTCCTAACCAAACTCCAAAGAACTAGCAAACAAAATATTAAAACCAGTAATTTTGAGAGAATACGTAAAATACATGCAAACCACTCAGAGAAGTCAGACTTTAGGTTGCCTTTTTTTCTGTCTTCCCCTTCAAGGCCTGATATTTACTTTATCCCAAGGGCAATTTGGTCTCAGAAAATTGGACCCCCATAGTCAGTTAAATAGTGTATATAACTACCCTGAGAGGGTCACACACAGAACTCACCAGAAATTCATTGGTAAATTCCTCTTTGTTAATTTTCTTGCTTTGGGCCTCATCCAGGAACTTCTGCAGAATATCTCTTTGGTCCATGCTGCAGAGCAAGAGAAATAGTCTATAAGCAGGTTGAGGGAGGGCATGTCAAATGTGTGTCATGGCCGAGACACCTCCAAAAAGCCACTGCTGCCGCCTGAGCAGAGCATGCTGAAGTCTGTGGTTTACTGACTTCATCACAAGCCCTAGAGGAAATTAGTACGTAACCACCTTCTGTGGTCACATAACACAGCCATCATCTTGCTCCAGGGCCCTAGCGCCTTCCTTCTCAGCAAAGGAACCTGGTTACAATTCAAATTTTTAACAAACAAGAGGCTAAGCGGAACATAAATTGTGGTCTGCTTAACTCTGAGACTATTCCATTCCATCACCCATACGCAAAACCCACCTTTCTTCTTGCCTCCCAGAGAAAGAGCAGAATTACAGGTCTCCTGCATGAGTTCTGTCTCTCCCCATTTCCCCAGTGAGCACAAGGGACCAGTTGACACCTTCTGTTTCCTTATGTTCCAGGTGAACTCTGCAAAGTTCAGTTAGCCCAGGAAAGAAGACAGACACCATTTAGAGTTACATGTCTTCTACCCGGACTGTTCATCAAAAGGTTTCTTGTCAGTGTGATCAATGAGAAACTTCTGTTCATTACAGAAGGTGTTTTTATTCATAACTTTTAAGTCTGCTATATATACCTCAAACTCTCTTTTGAATGAAGCAAGGTCAGATGCTTCTGACAGTCTGTGTCTCCCCCAGGACTGGGGAAGTGCTGACCTCCATTAAGGGAAGTGTTCATTTCAGCATCTCTTCAACCCTCCCAGTAGCCTTTGAAGCTTCGCTTGGATTCTGGATATAAAGACTAAGAGTGTTGGTCTATACAGGATCTAGAGCAAGTGACCCCCACAAGGAGCACCTGACCAGGCAGTTAGCACAATATGCTGCATATGTAATGCTGGTAAACTGTGATGGAAAGAAAAGAAAGTAAAATCAACCACCTTGCTGACAACATTGTAACTTTTAGGGCAGAAAGCCTGAAGAACTGTTTCTAAAGAACACATTTCTACTCTGCAACCAATGTCTTAGGAAATAAATTTGTTTCAGGAAGTTATGCTGTGCCTGTGGCATTTTGGCCCTGAAAGGCAGGCTCTTCTAGAAAAAGCTTCCACATCTCAGCTTGCATAACCTCTCAATGGGTACAAGTCTACCCAAGTGCCTAATTCACTGTGAGAACATCCCAAAATCAGCATATCATCTTTGTTGAAGGCAGAAGTTCAACAAATGTTAACAAAATTAGTCTTGATCCTAGGAAAACTGGGAAATGTGTTGTTAGGGCTTCCTCTATTTAAGATATTAGCAATCCTTTCTGTTTTGCAACATTATTCAAACTTCTTTCAGGATATCATGATTCCGAACACTGTTTATTCTGAATATTAAAGATACTGCATGCTCTTTACTAAGTACTGCAAAAAGAAAAGAAAGATCATTGAGATATCTTGGTTATAGGCGACTTAAAGACAATATTTCAAATAAAGAAACTCAATCCCAGTACACATAAATTAAACCCTCATTCTTCAGCAATATTTGTTGGGAATAGTATATTTCTCAAATTATTCCCACCTAGAATTAAGAGAGAATTTCTCGCTGCTCTAAGTAATGTGATGTTTACTTTGGCTATTTTAAAACATAAAATATGGGAAATCTTTGATTTATAAGAATACAAAATTTCAAGTTTATAATAACTAAAACCATGTAAAAGTATGTACATAGTTAAAGACTAAAAGATGCAAAAAAGAATCAATTGTATAAGTGTGATGGGATAAAGTTTGCTTTCTAAAATTATTATACTGTTTTTAAAATTAGAAATAAACATTTAAAAAATCCATTAAGTTGTTCAACAAATTTATTGAGTACCTACTAAATTCTAAACATTATCTTAGCAGATGGGCATAAAACACTGAGAAAGCCAGAATATGGTAAAAAAAAAAAAAAAAAAAAAAAAAAAAAAAAAAAAATCCATAGCCAGTTAGTAAAGCACCTCAGAACTAAAGATACAGACATGATTACTGATAAAAATTAAAACATTCCTTAGGTAACTTTGGGAAAGAACATAAAAATAAATATATTCTAAACTAACTTGCTTAATTGCAGAGTAGCAAAGCATAATCGTAAACGGAAAATGATTTTCTATGTTTGGACAAATAAGATAATATAGTTTTATAACTTCTCTGTACCCTTAGAATGTCCTCAATTACACCAAAACTAAAACTTTATTAATTTTTATTAATTGATTAGGCAAACCTGCCTAATAAAATTTAAATCTATTTTTCTCAAGCCTATATTTCAGAACAATCTCTTACTAACTTTCTTGTTTCTTCTTAAGGAGGGAGAAGATAAAAATAAATAGGAAATAACAAAAAAATTTTTGCTTAGATGCCTCCATAGTCCTTTTCTTCAAAATCTAAGAATCTGTAAATAGTGTGTTGGTAGAACTTCACACTTTTTAAAAAAGCAAGCAGCAATTTTTAAGATTCTATTCAACTGTAAACCCAAAAGGTATAGAGACATTGTGAAATAACCAAACCCCCAAAACCCACTTAGCTACGAGGCCATTTCCTGAGCAGACCACTCAAGCAAGCAAAAAACAAACTGAAGAAGAAAACACAAAACTTTAATTTTTTTTGTTTTGGGTTTTTTTGTTTGTTTTGTTTTGTTTTGATTTGAGACAGGGTCTTGCTATGTTACCCAGGCTAGTCTGGAACTCCTGGGCTCAAGTGATCCTCCCACTTCGGCCTTCCAAGTAGCTGGAGCTATTATTATTATTTTTTAAATAAGCTACTACTTAATTTATCACACTTCCTTCTACAGATACTGAAGGGCAGTAAGAGCATAATGCTTTTTGATGAAGATTGTGTTGACTCATTTGTATCTTGCGGGAAGATAAAGAGCTGGGGAGGGGAAAGAAGACTTGCAGTAAAGGTTGGCAAATACCTAAAAGAGTTTCAGAATTTATGATGAGTCATTTAAACCAGTCTGGCATAAAACCTAAGTGAACACAACAATTCCATGCAATAAAAAAAGACTTACCAACATTTTGCCAGAACCATCAAGTAAATTGTGGGAAGTAAATTGTGGATGAGCACCTGAAGAGGAGTGACAAGGCCACATCTCACTGCTGCCTCATGTGGCTGTAGTGTTTGGTCAGAAGGAAGAACACAATAGAGAAGAGTGCTGGTCACCATGTCAGCTGTTCCAACAAGAGGGGAGTATGCTAGTTTAAGGAGAAATATCAGTATCATGGAGGTCAGGAATTAGATTACAATACACGTTAGTTGAAGAGAATTTCAGGAAAGACTACAAGGATAAGATAAACTATTCAACAGGAAAAACATTCAGGATTCTCAGAACATCCTTCTCTCTTTTGGATGAGGAAGAGACATGTTTTACCCTGGAGAAGATACTTACCCAACCTTAGCTTTAGTTTCACTACTCTTGCCTTTCCCTACATCCCAGGGTCACTGATTTGATATGGGATATATACATTGTCTGTGAAACATTCAGTCCTTTGTAAGCATTCTCTTGATCACCAAGACCTATTGGAAATTTTTCCTCAATGTATTTTGATTCAACCTGTCTTTTCCATTCCCACTTAGTCCCATTCCCACTTTCACACCTGGATCCCTATAGCAATAAACTTATATTATCTTCCTATCTGTATGTTTCCATTCTAGTATCTCCTGTTAACCAAGGCTGGATGAAAGTTCTTAAAACTGCACTTTAATGCTAAAGAATCAGAATAGTTATTGATGGTCTATGGGAACAAGTCTAGATTCCTTAGCTTGTCACCAAGCCCCTCCCTGTCAACTATCCCCAGCCAGCCTATCCAAGCACATCACCTGCAGAGCTTGTTCATTCTACTACTTCTTTTTCTACTTCTCACCTTTACCCCTAAGTTTCACCACGATGAAAATAAAGCCATAAAGCTCAATTACTTTTTCTTCAAAAATCTTGCCCTTAACTGTTTCACCGTGATCTTCCCTTAGTCTGAATCTCTTCAATATAAATCTGTATATACAGCTATAGACATTTTCTTCGTTTATTCAATTTCCTTGTCTCCTATAAGTTTAAGAGTTTATTCAAAAGATGCCCCCTGTTTTTCAGATTTATCAAAGGCAATGATAGTGTCTTCTATGCATTTGTGTAACCCACAGTGCTTAACATGGTCTTGAGAATACATACCTAAAATAAGTCTGTTGTGATAATGTAAGCTAATGTGGTTACACTTTGGTGAGGGATCTACTCTCACTTGGTTACTCATTATATCAATTACTTCAAATCTCTTGCCTTGCACAGTCTGTGCTTCTTGTCTCTAGCTAGGCACTTTCATTATGCCAGGAGCAGATGGGCCTTCCTACATGGAGGCACAGGAACCTGGCAAAGGGTACTTTCCTGAATGCTGCTGCCCAAGCAGCAAGGCTATTATTATGAAAGGAATGGTGTCAATACTGAGCTTCAGAGTCCATCTCTGAAGAACTGCAATAGCCAGAAATAAATGACCTCCTTTATCTCTAGAACAGGCTTGTTTCTTCTTTTATAAATGAACACGGAAGAGGCTTATAAAATGCCTTTAATTAAGCTTGTTTCATTTTCTCATGTTTTCACGTCATCCATGGTAGGAAAAGTTCCCCTACCCATCTTCTAATCCACTGCTTGTCACTACAGCATTCTGAGACTTCACTAAGTCCTTCAGTTCACCTGCTGCAGACTTCATAGTCAACCTCCCACATACTACACAGGGAAGCATACTCTGCCTTTGGTTTCAGAATCCTCAAGAGGCAAAGGGCAACCAGTAAATTGCAATTGAAGCATTTTTTTCTTTTTATTTTTTTATTTTTGGGAGACAGAGTTTTGCTGTTGTCACCCAGGCTGGTGTGCAATGGTGCTATCTTGGCTCACTGCAACCTCCGCCTCCCGGGTTCAAGCAATTCTCCTGCCTCGGCCTCCTGAGTAGTTGGGATGACAGGTGTGAGCCACCACACCCAGCTAATTTTTGTATTATTAGTAGAGATGGGGTTTCACCATGTTGACCAAGCTGGCCTTGAACTCCTGACCTCAGGTGATCCACCCGCCTCAGCCTCCCAAAAGTACTGGGATTACAGGCATGAGCCACCAACTCCAGCCTGAAGCTTTTTTTTTTTTTTTTAAATAAAGAGCATCAGGACTCTTTTTTTTTTTTTGAGACAGCGTCTTGCTGTGTCACCCAGGCTGGAGTGCAGTGGCACCATCTCAGCTCACTGTAGCTCCGCCTCCCGGGTTCAAGCGATTCTCCTGCCTCAGCCTCCCGAGTAGCTGGGACTACAGGTGTCCGCCACCACGCCCAGCTAATTTTTTGTATTTTTTAGTAGAGATGGGGTTTCACAGTGTTAGCCAGGATGGTCTTGATCTCCTGACCTTGTGATCCACCTGCCTCAGCCTCCCAAAGTGCTGGGATTACAGGTGTGAGCCACCGCGCCTGGCCAAGAGCATCAGGACTCTTAAAGCTTAGCATCCTGTTCAAATATAATCAAACTTGAAGTCTCATCTGAGTCAATCATTTATTCATTCATTTAATGAATATTTTTAATATCGATGTACATGACAGAGAATGAAGAGGAGGGGTGTTACAGAAGTATACAACAAATTGTATCCTTCAGCGATCCTTTATCCTAGTGGGGAAGATGACTATACAGATAATTACAATTTAAGGCCATTTTTTGGATAAGAAACATAAAAGTGGTGCAAACAAAAGTTCAAGGAGGCAAAGGCCACTTCTTGTTCTAGTTATACGGATAGCCTTCATGGAGAAAGTGACAATTGGGTTGGGTCTTGACGATGTCTACAGGTAGAGCCTCAGAAAAAGCAGTATGAACCACAGAGAACAGTAGGAGGATGGCTTTAGTGACTGGCTCGGTTTTACTAGAGCATTGGGATTGTAGAGGAGAATCATGATTGATTAAGGCTATATAGGGCAGTTAGGGCCAGATCCTGGGGGAATTTGAATATCAGACTGAAAGTCAGGCTTTATTTGATGAACAGTAGGGAGCCGCTGAAGATTTTCTTTTTTAAACAACCTTATTGAGGTAGTGCTAATGTACAATAAACTACACATTTCAATCAGAGTATACAGTTTGGTAAGTTGGTATGAAATCACCCATAAAATCACAATCAAGATAATGAACATATCTAATCACCCTCAAAAGTTCTACTGAAGGACTTTAAGAGAATGGCATTCAAAGCAATGCTTTTGAAAAGTTATTTCTTGATTTAACAAATAAATGCCCCCTTCTGATAAAATGTTTAAGTCCTATAATCTTCATTGGTATGTTAAATTTAAAAATGAATGATACCATATACAAAAATGAATCAAAACAATAGACAAACCATAGCTTTCATCAATCTGATGTCAGTATATAGGATAGACTGGAATGGAGCAGAAAAAGAACAATTTATTGAAAGCCTAAGTAGGAGGCTTTATTAATAGTCCAGGCAGTTGCTAATAAATCTGGTAGAAGAACCAGGACAAAAAGGAAGTAACAAACGAGAAAAACTGTTGGGTGAGTTGGACTGGAGAGAGAGAGACAAGGTAAAAATGACTGAGGTTTTGAGCTAGTTGTATGGCAAATGGAGAGTATAGGGATAAGAAAGGTACACATAAATAATAAGCGTCTGTGGCTGTGGAATTGAGAAGGGAAATCAATCATATTTAGGAATCACTCACAGTGATGTGAAAGGTAAGAGTGGTTTGCATCTGTGAGAGCCAGGGTTAATGGAGAGAGAAAAAAGTCAAGCTAGAACCTTATGAACTCCATAACATAGAATTCCAAATTGCTAATGGCACAGTGTTTAAAATATTCCAGGCACTGGCCCTTTATAAAGTGTATTGTTTTATTTATCTCTCACAAAAATCTTATTAAAAAGTTACCAAATCATCTCTATTTTACAAATGTAGAAACTAAGGTACAGAAGAATTATGTCTCTTACACAATGTCACATAATTAGCCTATAGTGAAACTAAAGTGTTAAAATCAGGCAATCTGAATCCATTTTTAATTCCTGGGTTACAATGTCTTCTTCCTGCAGCCCAATCACTTAAACTCTCCTAAGATAGAGTCTCCTAAAATACACAACACCTAGGCCAGAGCTGCTTAATGCATTTGCCTAGTATAATCCCCGTGGGCACCATATCTTCAAATCTCAAGATAATGCAGTATACTTGGAACTGTTTTATGAGCAACACAGGATAAAACTGGGAGCTGGAATTATTCAATTTAGATTGAATTTGCTGAAACTTAGTTCAAATGCATAGACAGAAGTTTATTTCATAAAACAGAATAGCAACAATCAAAGTATTTTGATTTTGCCTATGAAGTCAAATACCACAAAACTCATCATCTTGAGTTTATAGTAACATAAGGGACAAAGGAGTACAAGTTTCTTAATGGTTAGCCAAAAATATAATTTCTACTAAAGAGAAACAGGACACATCATTTACAGATTACTAACCTGTTGTGATTTAACTAGGAATAAAGGAAAAAGCATAACTTTATTTATTTTCTTTCTTTTTTTTTTTGAGACAGTTTTGCTTTCATCGCCCAGGCTGGAGTGCAGTGGCGCCATCTCAGCTCACTGCAACCTCCGCCTCCCAGGTTCAAGTGAGTCTCCTGCCTCAGCCTCCTGAGTAGCTGGGATTACAGGCACATGCCACCCAGCCTGGCTAATTTTCTGTGTTTTTGGTAGAGACAGGGTTTCACCATGTTGGTCAGGCTGGTCTCAAACTCCTAACCTCAGGTGATCTACCCGCCTTGACCTCACAAAGTGCTGGGATTACAGGCATGAGCCACCGCACCAGGCCAAAGCATAACTTTGAAAAGCAAAAATATATTAACAGCACTATATATTTACTTCTCTGAATTTAGAGGGGATAGATGGCTGGCTGGCTGATAGAGGGGAAGTGATTAGCTTTATTAAACTTTAGCCAAAGTAATTAATGCTGCTTTTCGTGAATCACTGTAGCAATGCCTTTCTTCTTGACATTCAGGAAAGTAGTCTGGTTTTTGAAGTCTCAACCTGATGACTGCCTACTAATCTGTTAGATCATTAAGGACTATTTTGAGATATAAGATCATACAAATCATAAGTTTTTCTTCTAGTCACTCTCACTTGTAGGGCCAGAGAAATGGACTACTTAGGAGCTACAGAGCTCTCTGATTGGCTGAAGACCTAGAGAAACTGTGGATTATGCAAGAACTAACAAACATATGGAGACTAAGTTCCCAAAAAAGAGTTAAATATCTTTGAGTTTAAACCCTGTATCCACAGCTGTGTTTGCTGGAATTGTCAGGACTGTAATAGAGTTTCAATTACCAAGGAGAAATGTTGATTTAGAGAAGGGGTCAGCCAACTTTTTCTGTAAAGAGCCAGCTAGTAAATATTTTGGACTTAACCAGTCATATGGTCTTCCATAATCATTCAACTCTGCCATTGTAGCGCAAAAGTGGCCATGAACAATATGTAAACAAGTGAATGTTACTCTATTCCAATAAAACTTTGTTTACAAAATAAGACAGCAAGCCAGATTTGACGTGTGGGTTGTAATTTGTCAATCCATTCTCTAAAGTGATGGCTGTCACACTCTATATGTACATCAGAATGACCTATGGAACTAGTTTAAAAGGTAGGTTCCTAGGCTCCAGCCTACCCTTACAGAATCAGAATCTCTAGAAATGCGAATCAGCAATTTAATAAGGTCCACAAGTGGTGTGTGAACCACACTTTTAAAGCTCTATGCTACGCAGCTAGCTTCATGTCAGCTGGGGTGGCCTTGCTGTCCTAGATGTGGGCCAGCACTTCCTGCATCCTGTGGCAGTAACAATGCAGTAACTTTTATTTTCTTTGACCTTCCTAGTAGAAACAACTTTTTTTTTTGTTTTTTGGGTTTTTTTTTTTTTTTTTTTTTGCTTACAACCTCTAAAATGCATAAAATCGTCCTCCTCAGGTGAAATTAACATGAAATTTAGGGATGATTTTTGAATGAAAATACTCAACTTAAAATAACAAGATTTTAGGCCTGGCATGGTGGCTCACGCCTGTAATCCCAGCACTTTGGGAGGTCGAGGCGGGCGAATCACGAGGTCAGGAGATCCAGACCATCCTGGCTAACATGGTGAAGCCCTGTTTCTACTAAAAATACAAAACATTAGCCAGGCATGGTGGCAGGCACCTGTAGTCCCAGCTACTCGGGAGGCTGAGGCAGAAGAATGGAGTGAACCAGGGAGGCAGAGCTTGCAGTGAGCTGAGATCGAGCCACTGCACTCCAGTCTGGGTGACAGAGCGAGACTCCGTCTTAAAAAAAAAAAAAAAAAAACAAGATTTTTCAACCAAAAAGCTTCCTGAAATCCTTTAAATTGCAAAATTAGTAGACAAGATTCTTACCAAAGGACAGGGCTAAATCTGAAGGAATACTTTCCATTATTCTCCCTTTCTCTCAAAATACCTCCAGCAAAGGCGTGCCCTGTTGTTTATAATTCCACTACTAACAAGTCATTACTTTGTGTCTAGAGGTCTTTGCTTCAACAGAACCTCATTAAAACTCATGTGAAAACAAAGTAGAAAATCTCTGTGGTTTGCGTTAAGTTGACAAAAAAACAAAACAAAAACCAACTCTGTAGGCCTCTGGCAGCTGCTCCCAACTTTAACAATCAGTAAAAAATAACTTATTCAGCTAAGTTCAGTTCTGATAAAATGAAAAAAGTGTTTTTTTATTTGTTTGTTTGAATTGCCAGGAGTTAATCACCCAATCAGTCAACAAGGAAGTGATGTTCAGTCTCGTGAATAGCTCCACCTCTTCAGCTCTCCAGATTTTCCTAGGAAAGACAGTGAAAATCCTACAGTCAAAGGAATTGCTTTCAGGAACTTCCTAAGAAACCAGGAAATGATCTGCAGATAGCTCCAGGAAATGTAGCTCTTATTAAGGCTTCCACTGACTCCGTAAATGCTCTATGACAGCATAAGTTCTAATGATTACTAAAACATGGGCTTAGAATACCTTCTATGGTTACAACTACAGCAAAGACTGTTTTTTCTTAGATACTATTAAGGTGATTCAGACTTCCCTAACACACACATAAAGATGTTAGAAGAAGAAAGACCCAGAAATTTACAAGGGAACAGAGTGAAGCCAGGCTGAAATTAGAACTCTACCACGAATATACTTTATAGATGATTATGTGTAGGAAATGAAGATTAGCTTTACAGTAGTCAGCAGTCAATATTTTAGGTAGCATGACTCTGGAGTCCAACACCCACAGGCTGATCTTCTGTCTGCTCCACTTTTCCATGGCAAGAAAATCTAGGCATTTTCAGCAAAATAGGGAAGCCTGTTTTCCTGTTGGTTTCCAATTTACCAAAAGGGTCATGAATCGGAATCCCAGGTATTAGTACAAAAACAGTGCAAATACCTAGCAAAACCAGGAGCCCCAACACACTTACCCAACCTCCCTGGCCCTGGATGAACTCTCGGATGGCTCGGTTCCCATTGATCATACCCGTCATGGGGATAGCCACCTGTCCCACTACTTCAGGATCGATGTGAGCCATATACTCAAGAAGTTTCACTGCCACTGCCAGAAAGGCTCTCTCATAAGCTAAGCTGGAATCCTGAGCACACCAGGTCTTGCTGAGAGATTCCACTGTGTTCTGGAGTATAGCTCCTGCCTGAGGAAAGACAAAGGAAATATCAACAGAGTATCCCTCAAAAAGTGCAGGAGGCTGCAGGTGCAGGAATCCAGTAGAGCGATTGTTTCTTAGAGTGCCAAATGTGCAATTGGTGGTAACTAATGAAATCTCAGAGGGTAGATGGATAATCTTTTCTCGTTTTAATATTTTGTTATATTAATGGGCATTTGAAAATACATAAGTAGTCCATCAAACCCATGATTTCAGGTATTATTGCTTAGGTTAAACAAAATAAATGAAAAATGATTTGAAAGAAAAATATTAAGTATGTGATAGTCCAGCTGGTTAAATTGTAAAGGTATTGCTTGAACGACTAGGAAATGTCTGGGAAACTCTCAAGTAAAGACCGGGCGCGGTGGCTCACACCTGTAATCCCAGGTGTGATTTTGGGAGGCCGAGGCAGGCAGATCACCTGAGGTCAAGAGTTCAAGACCAGCCTGGCCAACATGGTGAAACCCTGTCTCTACTAAAAATACAAAAATTAGCCAGGCAGCATGGTGCAGGCCTGTAATACCAGCTACTCAGGAGGCTGAGGCAGGAGAATCACTTGATCCTGGGAGGTGAAGGTTGAAGTGAAGTGAGCCGAGATCACGCTGCTGCATTCCAGCCTGGGTGACAGAGCAAGACTCTGTCTCAGATAAAAAAAAAGGCCGAGTACAGTGGTTCACACCTGTAATCCCAACACTTTGGGAGGCAAAAGTGGGAGGATCACATGAGGTCAGGAGTTCAAGACTAGCCTGGGCAACACATTGAGACCCTGTCTCTATGAAAAATTTTAAAAAGTAGCTAGGCATGGTGGCACATGCCTGTGGTCCCAACTACTTAGGAGGCTGAGGTGGGAGGATCACTTAAGCCTATGAGATTGAGGCTGCAGTGAGCTATCATTGAGCCACTACACTACAGCCTAGGTGACAGAGAAAGACTGTCTCAAAAATAGTAATTAATTAGAATTAATAATAAAATAATAATTAATTAAAATAATTGAGTAGCTCTTCCTTTTCCTCTTTCCTTTTCAAATATGGGATCCAAAAGCCATTAGGTGGGTCCAAGCAAGATCTGTGGGGATTTAGGGGGGGTCAAGCCTGGCCAGAGCTGAATATCGGAGCCCAAACAAGCTGAAAAGGACATTCATGTGGGAGGGCACCTAAATCTTGATTTCTAAATATCATTCTCCATTAAAACAAACCAAAGGCCGGGTGCGGTGGCTCACGTCTGTAATCCCAGCACTTTGGGAAGCCAAGGCAGGTGAATCATGAGGTCAGGAGTTCAAGACCAGTCTGGCCAACGTAGTGAAACCCCGTCTCTACTAAAAATACAAAAAAGTAGCTGGGCGTGGTGGCGGGCGCATGTAATCCCAGCTACTCTGGAGGCTGAGGGAGGAGAATCACGTGAACCCGGAAGGTGGAGGTTGAAGTGAGCGGAGATGGCGCCATTGCACTCTAGCCCAGGCGAAAGTGCGAAGACTCTGTCTCAAAAAAAAAAAAAAAAAAAAAAGGTGGGCGCGGTGGCTCACACCTGTAATCCTAGCACTTTGGGAGGCCAAGGCGGGCGAATTGTCTGAGCCCAGGAGTTCGCGACCAGCCTGGGCAACATGGTGAAACCCCGTCTCTACTAAAATACAAAAAAAAAAAAAAAAAAATTAGCCAGGCTTGGCAGTGTGTGTCTGTAGTCCCAGCTACTTGGGAGGCTGAGGCAGGAGAATTGCTTGAATCCGAGAGGCAGAGGTTGCAGTGAGCTGAGATCGTGCCACAGCACTCCAGACTGGCAACAGAGTGAGACTCGTCTCAAACAATAAAAGAAACCAGCGCTCTCTAGAGAATGGTTGATTTCAGTTTGGGGCTAGGGAAGTATAAGATCTTCTGTCAGAAATTAAGGAAGTACTCAAATAAAAATAGAGACACATCAAAGAGGTGCCGTCTAGAGTGAAAGCACTCCCACTAGCTAAAACTAGGATGATTTGAGCATCTAAATTAATAATGACGTTAACAGATTATAACCCACTGAATAAAGTAGGAATTCATGGGTCCAATGCTGATAAAAAATGAATGCATTGAAATTTTGATGAGATGTGGAATATTTACATAGTTTCAAAGTACCTCGCCATAAAACACTTATTAATTACAAAGGGGAAAAGAGTAACTTTATAGAGGAGAAGCCTTACAGACACCATCTTAAGTGATTAAAGTTAACAACATCAATACTGGGATAAAATGAAATATTGTGCCAATTGATGCAATGCACTGAGAACATAGCAATACTTCAGTGATATTCCTACCAAAGGTACATATCTTTAATTTATCCAAGAAGAAACATCAAACAAACCCAATTAAGGGACATTCAACAAGATAGACCATAGTCTTCAAGTGTCAAGGTTATGAAAATCAAGGAAAGACTGAGGAAAAATTCCAGATTGGAGGAAACTAAAGAGAAATGACAACTAAATGCAATATGTGATTCTGGCCTACAACTTTTTACCATACATTACATTATCGGGAAAAATGGCAAAACTTGAAAGAGATCTAAGGATTAGATGAAAATGAATCAATGTTAATTTCCTGGTTTTGATGGTTAGAATGTGGTTACGTTAGAGAATGTCCTTGTTTGAAGGAAGTATAAAAGTATTAGGGGTTGATGAAATATCATGTCAACTCCCTACTGTCAAATGATTAAAGAGAGAATTTGTACTATCCTTGCAACTTTTCCCTGAGTTTAGGGCTGTTTCAAAATATTTTTTTTATTAAAACAAGTTCAAGTCAAATAATTTTTTTTTTTTTTTTGAGACAGTCTTGCTCTGTCACCCAGGTTGGAGTGCAATGGCACCATCTTGGCTCACTGCAACCTCCGCCTCCCGGGTTCAAGCAATTCTTCTGTCTCAGCCTTCCGCGTAGCTGGGATTACAGTTGTGTGCCACCATGCCTGGCTAATTTTTGTATTTGTGTTTGTATGTATGTGTGTATGTATGTATGTATTTATTTATTTTGAGAGAGGGTCTCGCTCTGTTGCCCAGATTGGAGTGCAGTGGCGAGATCTCAGTTCACTGCAACCTCCCTCTGCCTCCCAGGTTCAAGCGATTCTCCTACCTCAGCCTCCCGAGTAGCTGGGAATTACAGGTGTGCGCCACTATACCCAGCTAATTTTTGTATTATTAGCAGAGATGGGGTTTCACTATGTTGGCCAGGTTGGTCTCAAACTCCCGGCCTCAAGCAGTCCACCCCTCTCGGCCTCCCAAAGTGCTGGGATTACAAGCATGAGCCATGGCACCCAGCCAAAAAAAAATCTGTTTAATGAAAAAAAAGTCAACTCAGCTATCAACTACCTAGGACAGCCTCAGGGCAAGTAACTGGAAGTAACAGGTCCAGTTCTGCTTGGAAGTAGTGTAGGCACACTGCCCAAGCTATGTATAGTAGGAAGAATAAAGCATAACGGTTAAGAGTGTGGTTCTTTTTTTTGAGACAGAGCCTTGCTCTGTCGCCCAGGCTGGAGAGCAGTGGCGTGATCTCAGCTCACTGCAACCTCCGCCTCCCGGGTTCAAGTGATTCTCCTGCCTCAGTCTCTCAAGTAGCTGGGATTACAGGCATGGGCCATCACACCCAGCTAATTTTTGTATTTTTAGTAGAGACAGGGATTCTCTATGTTGGCCAGGCTGGTGTTGAACTCCTGACGTCAAGTTATCTGCCCAGCTAATTTTTGTATTTTTAGGTAGAGATGGGGGTTTCACCATTTTGACCAGGCTGGTCTCGAACTCCTGACATCAGGTGATCCACCCAGATGGGCTAGGCGCGGTGATTCACCCCTGTAATCCCAGCACTTTGGGAGGCCGAGGCGGGTGGATCACCTGAGATCAGGAGTTCAAGGCCAGCCTGGCCAACATGGTGAAACCCCATCTCTACTAAAAATACAAAAATTAGCAGGGCATGGTGGCGGGTGCGTGTAATCACAGCTACTTGGGAGGCTGAGACAAGAGAATCACTTGAATCCGGGAGGCAGAGGTTGCAGTGAGAGTCTGTCTCCAAAAAAAATAAAAAAAGAAATTCTTACTGAGGACGTATTATATATAAGGCACTGTTACAGGTTGTGTGAATATGGCAGTGAACAAAACAGGTTAGATGTTTGCTTTTGTGGTGTTATATGCAGATGGGGAGAGGTTGCTGCGGCGATAATAGCTTCCATGATAACTCATACAGGGGCATAATGATTAAATGAGATAATAATTGCACATTGTAAGTGATAAGTTAATATTAGTTGTCATTGTTGATATATATCAGCAACATCTCCTAGATACTGCCTTATTGTCTTTACATCTGAAACAGAGTCCAAGTGCTACTGCCAGTAATCAGCATTCTGATGAAAAGCCAGTGAGCTGCTGTAGGGCTTATCCCTCATTGCATCAAACTTGTAGACTGCCTGTCATTCCTGTATATACTTCCCTGCTGGACCCTGGGGGAAAAAAGTGCCCACCTCCAACAAAATAAATATTAAAATATGCATAGGCTGGGACCGGGTGTGGTGGCTCACGCCTGTAATCCCAGCACTTTGGGAGGCCGAGGCAGGCCAATTGCCTGAGCTCAGAAGTTTGAGACCAGCCTGGGCAACACAGTGAAACCCCATCTCTACTAAAATACAAAAAATAATTAGCTAGGTGTGGCGGCGTGCACCTGTAGTCCCAGCTACTTGGGAGGCTGAGGCAGGAAAATTGCTTGAACCTGGGGGATGGAGGTTGCAGTGAGCCAAGATCGCACCACTGCACTGCAGCCTGGGTGACAGAGCAAGACTCCATCTCAAAAAAAAAAAAAAAAGCATAGGCTGGGTGTGGTAGCTCATGCCTGTAATCCCAGGACTTTGGGAGGCCGAGGTGGGTGGATCACCTGAGCTCAGGAGTTCAAGACCAACCTGGGCAACATGGCAAAAACCCATCTCTACTAAAAATAAAAATAGTAAAAATAAAAAATAGATGGGCATGGTAGCACTTGCCTGAAGTCCCAGCTACTCAGGAGGCTGCAGTGGGAGGATCGCTTGAGCCCAGGAGGTGGAGCCTGCAGTGAGCTGAGATCACACCACTGCACTTGAGCCTAGGTGACAGAGTAAGACCTTGTCTCAAAAAAAAAAAAAAAAAAAAAAAAAAAATGCTATACTTTGCCAAGAATAAAGTGCTATAAAATGTGCTCTATGCACACTAAGCACAGCTCTGATGAAGACCAAGTAGAGACAAGCTGAAGGTTCATCAGCCTATGCCAAAAATTTTCCATCTCCATACCACTTAGGTTTTAGCAACTGGAGAATTCTTGCTATACCTCCTTGGAATATAAGCCCCCAAATATTTTCATAGAACATTCCTAGTCACCATAGTATGGGAGTAGTAAGAAAAGGAAGTTTGAGATAGGAAAAAAAGCAGCAAACAATAGCATGAAGTAGAAACTTGACCTGTCCTTGAATGGTTTCTGCAATGATGTTTTTGGCGTAAGTTTCCAATTCTGCGTTGAACTGGTCACCCAGCATCCGAAGGCGACCAGCAATGATAACCACGTCAAAAGAGCAAGGCTCTCCTACGACAGAGGGAACACATTTGTTACAATGCTTGAAGCAATGGCAAGTCCCAGGAATCTGGGCAATGAGAAAAAGTGGTCTTGTTTTTACATAATTTTCACATCATCTCCCAAGAGCTTAAATGTTCTGTCAACACCAATAGTCAGAAAGTTTCCCTTCATTGAGAACCTCTTTCCCTTTAGGTGTTACTGAAAACTTAGAGTTTGCCTTTTGAAACTTAAAGGAAATAAATAAAACATACTCTTTTTTTTTGAGACTGAGTCTCTGTGGCCCAGATTGGAGTGCAGTGGCATGATCTCTGCTCATTGCAACCTCCACCTCCCAGGTTCAAGCAATTCTCATGCCTCAGTCTCCCATGTAGCTGGGACTACAGGCGTGAGTCACCATGCCTGGCTAATTTTTGTATTTTTAGTAGAGATGGGGTTTCACCATGTTGGCCAGGCTGATCTCAAACCCCTGACTTCAAGTCACCTGCCTTGGCCTCCCAAAGTGCTGGGATTACAGGAGTCAGTCACCGTGCCCAGCCGAAAACATGCTCTTATTGACCTGCAATCACCACCTAGGCCAGGAGCCTTACCTGAACCTACTTCATCTACACAGCATAGGTTCCGGTTGGCAACCCGCAATGTTGGGGCCAAGAAGTCCATGAGTAGAGCGTTAACAATGCATTCCGTTTTTTCCTCAAAAGTTTGGGGGCTCTTCATTTTAGATGTTTGCTGCCAAGTTTCGCTTTTCCACAAAACAAGCAGTTTTCAGCCCAGCAGGAAGTTAAAAACACTTGTAAATCAACAAATGTTTCTAACTCTTGTAGTTTCCTGACATGTAGTCCTGGAACTTTTCCCACTAGCTTTCTTCAAACACAGCTGCTCAGAAAGGTGGGACTTCTCAGAAGGGATTACCTACTTGGAACTGGGGAGACTTTAAAGACTTTAGGTTCTTTATCTCCGACCACACCCTAACCACATAAAGTTAATGCTTAACTTTTATCGTTAGATAGCCAATCTAGAACTGAAACAGAGTTCAGGAAGAGCCTCTGGGGTAATTTTATTAAGAAATACTTCCTTTACTTCTTAGGTCCTGCATCTGGCATAATTTAAAGGAAGGTTTTGAAGTTACAGTGGACCAGCATTCAACTTCTGTTTATGCAGCCGGACGCAGTGGCTCACGCCTGTAATCCCAGCACTTTGGGAGGCCGAGGCGGGCGGATCACAAGGTCAGGAGATCGAGACCATCCTGGCGAACACAGTGAAACCCCGTCTCTACTAAAAATACAAAAAAAAAAAAAAAAAATTAGCCGGGCGTGGTGGTGGGCACCTGTAGTCCCAGCTTCTGAGGAGGCTGAGGCAGGAGAATGGCGTGAACCTGGGAGGCGGTGGAGCTTGCATTGAGCGGAGATCGCTCAACTGCACTCCAGCCTGGGCAACAGAGCGAGACTCCGTCTCAAAAAAAAAAAAAAAAAACCCAAAAAAAAACCTTCTGTTTATGGAATTTATTTGCCATAATCATATAATAATTATTTACCAAACAAGGAACAATACTTGGCACTATAACATAGAAAAATGATACAGGCACAGTTACTGTGCTCATGAAGCTTATATTTCAGCAGAAATGACAGATATTAAATGACTAATCACATAGTTATTTGTGCTATTGAGATCAGTGCACTTTGATCAGTGAAGTGTAATAGAGAATCAAGCCTTTGATCAGTTTAATAGGGAAACAAGCCCAGGGGACTGGGAAGGCGTCCTTAAAATAGTAGCATCTGAGATGAGCTCTGAGGAATAAGTAGGTATTCACTATGCAAAAAGGAGGCATAATACTATTCTAGGTGGAGGGGTAGCAGATATAAAGTCTGGGAAAGTTAAAAAAAAAAAAAAACTCAAACAACTTGGAATTATACATGGGGACAATGGAAAATATTTCACAGATAAATTATGAAGATTAAGTAAGATAACATGCAGAATGGCCTAGCACTGTTGGCATACAATAAATGTTAAATGTCCTCCTTTTAGCACAAGGCATAATGACCAGGATGAAAGAGATCTGAGATTCTCTCTCTAGCAAAAGGATTTTCCTAACAGGGTCGGACTCCATCACTGTTTTAAGAGATCTCATGATTGGACACTTATCTGTAGCAGTTGCCTTTTTAATGTAGCTAAACCTAGATTTTGGGTCTGGGTCTCAGACCCAAATCAAATCTATCAGCAAACTTACCACTCAACCTGTCTGACCTGGTGAAGTTATTAACAGCTCCAACTAATAAAAGAGTCAAGCATAGGCCGGGCACGGTGGCTTACACCTATAATCCCAGCATTTTTGGGAGGCCGGGGTGGGTGAATAACCTGAAGTCAGGAGTTCACGACCAGCCTGGCCAACATGGTAAAACCCATCTCTACTAAAAATACAAAAATCAGCTGGGTGTGGTGGTGCGTGCCTGTAATCCCAGCTACTCGGGAGGCTGAGGCATGAGAATTGCTTGAACCTGGGAGGCGGAGGTTGTGGTGAGCCGAGATTACGCCACCGCACTCCAGCCTGGGCAACAGAGCGAGACTCTGTCTCAAAAAAAAAAAAAAAAGAGAGAGAAAAGATTCAGGCATAAACAGTAAGTCAGTTATTCAGAATGGAATTTCTATCTTGCAAAATATCAAAGCCAATCTTGTGTTTTCTGTTCCATTTGAAAACACATACAACCACTATACACCTATTAAAATGGCCAAAATACAGAACACTGGCAAAACCAGATGATGCTGGTGAGGATGTGGGGCAGGAACTGTCATTCATTGCTGGTAGGAATGCAAAATGGTACAGCCATTTTGGAAGAGTTTAGCAGTTTCTCACAAAACTAAACATCTTCTTAACATATGATTTAGCAATTATACTCGTTGGTATCTACCCAAAGGAGCTGAAAACTTGTCTACATAAAAACTTGCACATGGTTGTTTATAGTAGCTTTATTAATAATTGCCCAAACTTGGAAGCAACCAATGTGTCCTTCAGTAGGTAAATGAATAAATAAACTGTCATACATACAGACAAAAGACATTATTTAGTGCTAAAAAGAAATGAGCTGGCCAGGCGCGGTGGCTCACACCTGTAATCCCAGCTACTCAGGAGACTGAGGCAGGAGAATTGCTTGAACCCAGGAGGCGGAGGTTGCAGTGAGCTGAGATGGCACCACGGCACTCCAGCCTGGGTGACAGAGCGAGACTCCATCTCAAAAAATAAAAGAAGAAATGAGCTATCAGGCCATGAAAAGATGAGGAGGAATTTGGGTGATAATTGGACTTTGGGTAATAATTGATGAGGTAAGTTCATCAGTTTAAAACAAATTGTACCACTTTGATTGAGGATGTTGATAATGGGGAAGACTATGCTTGTGTGGGGGCAGAGGGTATATGGGAAATCTCTGTACCTTTGTTTCAATTTTGCTTTGAACTTAAAACTGCTCTTAAAAAGTCTTAATTTTTAAAAATGATCATAAATTGCTTTTGGAGTAAGAACACAAATTACGTTCCCATGTAGCTAAAAAAGCGCTATTTTCATTTGTCGTTATCTGTTGCTCATTTTCTCTAGAGACAAAAGGGCTGAAACCTCCATTATTACTAAGTAGGCTTCAGATTTTTAACATCAGAAGGGCACTCAGAGAAAATTGTAGGCTAGCCTCCTCTCACATTAGAGCTAGCCACTGACAGTTGAAGGATTCTAAAAAATACATTTGTGACATACTCCCAAAACAATATATAAAAAACGAAAATATTTATGAGACCATCCAGCTGGTATTAAATAGCTTGCCCAAGAGGACTAGGTGCTCGCAAACGAGACTTCCCGATAAGTCCTGCTCTTGCAAACGAAGCAGGGCATTGGGGGCTTGTTTATGTGTAAACATCTTGAAAATCCAGAAAGTCAGGGAAAGGTCAGAAAAACAACAATGTGTCTTGTGACTTGGCAACATTCCACAAACGACTGTATAAAATAAAGCAGAGCGCGCCATTCGAGGCGGCCGCCATGTTTGTCTTGTCTTGTGTTGTCTTGTGTGTTCATTCCTTTGTTTAGGAAACACGCGGACCCCACACATCAGTAAGTGGCAGAATAAAACCAAGTCTGTCTTACATCAGACTGAAGCTTTTCCCACAGTAATAAACCACCTTCCTCATTTCATTATCAATATGCTCATGCCATCTTTGAAATCGAATCTTGAGTCCAGGGGTGGCGGCACGCACCTATAGTCCCAGCTACTCAGGAGGCTGAAGCAAGGGAATCACTTGAGGCCAGATCAAGGCTTCACTGAGCCATGGTCACACCACCGCACACCAGCCTGGATGACAAAGCAAGTCTCTATCTAAAAAAAAAAAAAAAAATCTAATTTCAACTCCTTTGCATTGTCTTCTATAATCAATGTTGTAAAGCTATAGAAACAGAGTACAGCCTGTCATTGGCAATGTGGAGTAAATTTTCCACGTTTGTTTACTTCTTCTGGGCCTTCAATAAAGCACCCTCCAAAACTATCCCTTTCCATCAGCCCACATACCTTCACCCTTGCAGTTGTAATATTGTGCTCTTTTTTTTTTTTTTTTTTTTTTTTTGAGATGGAGTCTCGCTCTGTCGCCCGGGCGGGAGTGCAGTGGCCGGATCTCGGCTCACTGCAAGCTCCGCCTCCCGGGTTCACGCCATTCTCCTGCCTCAGCCTCCCCTGTAGCTGGGACTACAGGCGCCCGCCACTTCGCCCGGCTATTTTTTTGTATTTTTTAGTAGAGACGGGGTTTCACTGTGTTAGCCAGGATGGTCTCGATCTCCTGACCTCGTGATCCGCCCGACTCGGCCTCCCAAAGTGCTGGGATTACAGGCTTGAGCCACCGCGCCCGGCCTATTGTGCTCTTAATTATTACTGAAAAATGATGAGGCCAGAATTTTTTCACCGTCACTTGTTTCTCTTGCTACCCTCTGACCACAACAATTTACATCCCTCCCCGAAAAGCTTTGTCTCATTGTATCATTGGCTTAAAGTCCAGGATCCTGTCATGTGTACCAGATGCGCATGTGGATGAAGATCCTTGGGTGCAACTCCTCTCAACATGGAGACTTGTAACTAAGAAAACAAGCAATGTGTCCCCTCTCCCCTAAACACCCGATATCTAAGAAAGGAATAGAATACTTTTAACAGAACACCTGTTCAAAAATAGGGGGAACGGAAATACATCACAGTCACTGATACATAACTATAAAATGATGGTAACTATGCAAATTATTGCCTCTGCGGTGTTCCAAAACACTATTGTCTTTGTGGGACCTCATTACATACATAACATTCTGTTTACCTGTCAACTAAGAATGATACTAGAAGGCTGCTGCTTTAAGAGCACAGTATGGACTACCTTCATGGATTGTAAAATATAAACATCTACTTATATCACATCATCAAACCCCATGTCTGCAGAAGCTACAGAGAGTTCCTAGGGGGGAAAATATTAAAGAATTAACTTAATAGTATACTTGAGCTTTAGTCATTTTGCTTATAAATTAGTAAAGCCAGGCTATAGGAGAAATCAGTTCTTCATTGAGATAATCTTAAAAGTATATTTTCCAAAAGCAACAATTTCATATTCTATGTATGCCTCTTACATTACAGAAAAGTGACCAAGAAGAACATAGTCTTCTAAAAGCTCCAATAGTTGGCATTACTTTAGTATTTTCATTTATTCAGTTGCTTAGTCATACCTAATTTTCTTTAGATCAACTTTTCAGTTATAGTCTTTAATTTTAAAAAGTCAATCAATTTACTCAGTTTCCACCACCTGCATCCTGTTCCCTTGCTACACTTTTTTTTTTTTTTTTTTGAGATGGAGTCTCACTCTGTCGCCTGGGTTGGAGTGCAGTGGCGCAATCTCAGCTCACTGCAACCTCTGCCTCCCGGGTTCAAGTGATTCTCCCTCCTCAGGCTCTCGAGTAGCTGGGATTACAGGTGCCCGCCACTACACCCATCTAATTCTTCGTATTTTTAGTAGAGATGGGGTTTCACCATGTTGGCCACGCTGGTCTTGAACTCCTGATCTTGTGATCCACCCACCTCGGCATCCCAAAGTGCTGGGATTACAAGTGTGAGCCATCACGCCCAGCCCCTTGCTACGCTTTGAATTGGCAGCACTTCAATTTTATTTCTCCTAGTATGTAAACATTCACCATTTAACTGAACCATAAAAATACAGAAAATGCAATTCTGAAGTTGTTCTAATCCCTCCCTTTCCTACCCCTGAGGATCCATGGTCTAAATCAGTGGTTCTCAAGTAATGGCCATTTTGCTCCCTGTCCCGGCATAACTTTGACAATGTCTGAAGACATTTTTAGTTGTCACAAGTGAGGATTCTACTGGTATCCAGTGGGTAGAGGCCAGAGATACTGCTAATAATCATTCTACAGTGCAGAGGAAAGCCCCTCACAACAAATAATTATCTGGCCTCAAATGTCAGTATTGCCACTTTTAAGAAATCCTGGTCTAGAAGAAATTCCATTATTTTCCATATAGTTGATACAATATCGTAAAACTCATTTCAAACATCAATCCCAAAACACATCAGAATCTAATTATATACAGCCATTCATTCAATAAAGATTTACTGAGTAATACTATGTGGCAAGCACTATGGAAATAAAAGGAAAGACAGAATCACTCTTTATTTTATTTTATTTTTATTTTTTGAGACGGAGTTTCGCTCTTGCTGCCCAGGCTGGAGTGCAATGGCACGATCTTGGCTCACTGCAACCTCCACCTCCCGGGTTTCAAGCGATTCTCCTGCCTCAGCCTCCTGAGTAGGTGGGATTATAGGTGCCCGCCACCACACCTAGCTAAATTTTGTATTTTTAGTAGAGACGGGGTTTCACCATGTTGGCCAGGCTGGTCTCGAACTCCTGACCTCAGGTGATCCACACACCTTGGCCTCCCAAAGTGCTGGGATTAGAGGCATGAGCCACCACACCCGGCAAGAATCATTCTTAAAAGTTGTTCAGGCCAGGCACAGTGGCTCATGCCTGTAATCCCAGCACTTTGGGAGGCGGAGGCAGGTGGATCACCTGAGGTCAGGAAATTGAGACCAGCCTGACCAACATGGTAAAACTCCATCTCTATTAAAAATACAAAAAATTAGCTGGGTGTGATGTGGGCACCTGTAATCCCAGCTACTTGGGAGGCTGAGGTACGAGAACTGCTTGAACCCAGGAGGCGGAAGTTGCAGTGAGCCAAAACCATGCCATTCATTCCAGCCTGGGCAACAAGAGCAAAACTCTGTTTTAAAAAAAAAAAAGTTGTTCAATGGGGAAGACCATTCAATAAACAACTCACAAAACCCAGGCTCTTACCAGAAAATTCAATACTGTTTGTTATTTACTCCTATTAAGAGCCTAGTTGAGGCTGGGTAATACCTGAGGTCAGGAGTTACCAGCCTGGGTCATCATGACAAAACCCCGTCTGTACTAAAAATACAAAAATTAGCCAGGCATGGTGGTGCATGCCTGTAGTCCCAGCCACTTGGGCGGTTGAGGCAGGAGGATGGCTTGAACCTGCAATGTGGAAGTTACAGTGAGCTGAGATCACACCACTGCACTACAGCCTGGGTGACACAGCAACACTCCGTCTCAGATTAAAAAAAAAAAATAGAGCCTAATTGAGAGAAGTGATAGGTGAAAAATTTTCTGAAGGGTATGTGTTCATCTGTGTATCTAGATAGTAGAAATCCTTGAATTAAGCTGGATGATGGCGGCTATATTCTTGGATCATGTTAAGTCCTTGAAGAAATGCCTTCATTAAGCACCATGTTGTTGTTGTTGTTATTATTATTATTGAGACAGGGTCTTGCTCTGTAGCCCAGGCTGGAGTTCGGTGGTGTGATCATAGCTTATTGCAGCCTCAACCTCCTAGGCTCAAGCAGTGCTCCCACCTCAGCCTCCCAAGTAGCTGGGACTACAGGCACACACTGCCACACCTGGTTAATTTTTTACTTTTGTAGAGATGGGGATCTCACTACATTGCCCAGGCTGGTCTCAAGCTCCTAGCCTCAAGTGATCCACCCACCTTGGTCTCCCAAAGTGCTGAGATTAAAGGCATGAGCCACCATGTCTAGCCTACTTTTTTGTATGGTTTTTTTGTTTTGTTTTGTTTTTTGTTTTTGTTTTTTGATAGGGTCTCCTTCTGTCACCCAGGCTGGAGCTGGAGTGCAGTGGTGTGATCACCACTCTCTGTAACCTCGAACTCCTGGGCTCAAGTAATCCTCCTGCCTTAGCCTCTTGAGCAGCTGGGATTTCAGGCACGTGCCACCATGCCTGGCCAACTGAATTTTTTTACACACAGGATCTCACTATGCTGCCCAGGCTGGTCCTGAACTCCTGGCATCAAGCAATCCTCCCTCCTTGGCCTCCTGAAGTGCTGGGTTACAGGCATGAACGACTGCACCCAATCTAAGCTCTATATTAACGTCTCTGCTTTCGTTGAAGAATACTGTAAGAAAGTCATGTGAAACCCATTACTAACTTCTCATAGGATCTTGCACATATCTTAGTACCACCTATGTGAAACTACACGTAAATTTCTTTTAGAAATCAATGTTTCTTCCTCTCTGATGATAATTATAACTGTTTCCCTTATGACTGCTAAATCGCCTATAGAGACAAATCAAAGCTCAACTGTATCACCTAATAGGCCCAAACAGCCTGAACATTTGTGTATTTCCCCATCCCTAACCCAGCTGGTCTTAACTGGTATTTTAATTTTTCCCATTCTGGATTCACTAGTCTTTATATTTTACCATCATTTTATTAGATTTGTTCTTGCCATAAGTTGCTTCAATGCACAAAATGTGGTCAGGTAAGAACAGAATAAAAATTGAGGACAAGCAACAAGAAAACAATCACAGTACTACTGCTAGAGGTATGCTGTAGCTACTTTCACAGCTTGAAGGAGATCCCTAATGAAGGCAGTGAGGGTTAAAGAAAACTTCCTGAAGGAGCTTATGAGTGAGCTGAACACTGAAAGATAGACAAGGTGTTAATTCAAGAAGATATGAGGGTGAAAAAATGTTCTAGACAATAAAAGCAGGTTTAAAGCACAGAGGTGAAAGAAGCTGGTGTATACAGGGAACTGCAATGCAAATGGTTTGCTTCTGCCAGAAGAGAAGGCATTTTGGGAGTGGCAAGACTTGACACCAAAGAGGTACTTTAGACGACATTAAGGACTTTGGAATCTGGCCTAAAAAGCATGATTGGAAATATGAGAACAGTTAGCAATTTGCTATAATAATCCAGGGAAGAAAAGATGACCCCCATAAATGATGACCCCTGTCAGTTTCCACACATCAGCCATCTTTAATTACTAACACAATTCCTAAAATTGATTAGGAAATAATCCAAATCCCATCCTTACCCCATTCCCTTACCAACATTAACCTTTACAACATCATCATTGAAAAATGGGGTCAATTGCCAATAGGAATGAAAGGAATGAATCAATGTTCTTTGGCCAAAAACTTAAGAATCCTGATTTCTAGATTTTCCACTCTCCTTTGTATCTGATATTATCTGGATTTACTGGCAGCTCTAAAAAGAAAGACTAAGAAACTGTAATAGTTATTCATCTTACTCTGGACAAGCAACAAGAATCTGTTACGATTTTATTTCTTCAATTGTTCCAATCACAGTTTCTAATACAGAAATAAAACTATTCAGTGTCTCGGTTCTTGCTTCATTTTGTTTCACAGAGATCTGCATTTCTGAGTTTTCAGGCTCCAATAGCAGTTCTGTTAAGAACAGACAACCAGTATCATCCTGGGCACTGAGGTATGCTTTCCATGGCCGAGTCCCAGCCCTACTCATTGCGATGGTCTGGATGTTCACTACTTGAAGAGCCATCTGGAGGGTGTCAGGATGGAATTCTCCCCGCCAAGGCAACACTTGCTGATGAGCAACTTTGAGGCTAAGCCAAGTTTTCTCAAAATAATCAGCAGTAAGCTGGCGATTGGGGACTAGCATGAGGGCTCCAGAATCAGGGAGTTCTTGTTCCTTCTCCTTGTTATCCTCAGGAATCAAGGGTCCTAAAAAGAGACAGAAAACTTGTGTGAAAGATACTCTTAATCTGTAGGAGCTAAGTTTTTTACCCAAATTCCCAAATGTACACAATGTGACTTTCATCCTTGGATAAATGGCTGAAATAACCAATGATGAACCTCTTTCTTGTTCACAAATGCTTCAAATTCAGACAACAGTCTGAGCTTTAGTGCTATGATACTCTACTTTCTGCCAATCATTGAAAAGGTAAAGATTTATCATGACAAGATTTAATGTAAGGACTGTTTTTACCTGACGCAGCAAAGGATGAAGTTTTAGGAAGCTCTGGGCCACAACGCTCTGCCCCCTGGCATTTAGAGATAGTTGCCCAGTGGGCTTTGCCATACACTGGCACCAGTGTGTTGAAATCCAAGGCCCAGCTATTCACAGGTCTTTCTGCTGGATCCTCCAAAAGTCCAAGAGTAGGGTCAGATTTAGGGCTACACAGAATCCGCTTAACTTCATCAATGCCAACTAAGAGGAGGCGATAATAGAAGAGACCTCGGTCCCGTACAGCCATATCTTTTTCTTCCTCTGAGGTAAGACAACAGATTGACTTCATTAAAAACAAAACCACTTTCCTCCTACTTTTGTGCCAACCATAATAGGAGAAAAAAATGAAGGAGAGAGGAAACCCTAGGAAGCATTAACGTTTTCTTCTCGGGTCCCAGACATGACTCACCAAACAATGAAAGCTATTAAGAATCTTTACTATGGGTCGTGGCAAGCACTATGTCCTCCTGCAAAACCCACCTATGCAGTAATACAACAAACGTCCCAGCATGTCCTGGCACTCAGCAGGTCGAGAGAGGAAAAGGCGCAGCAAAGCAGTGAGCAGCTCCATCTTAACAGCTGGAAATGTTTCCGACTTCACATTCTCAACAAAGTCCTCTAACACATAAGGAGCATTAGGAATTCTTTCCCCGTGGACACCAAGTAGCCAAATAAGTGCTTGCTTCCCCTAGAGAATAAAGGAATAACAGCAAGCCCTCAACACTTGACCGTCTAAAACAAAGGAGATTGTAGACAGCCACTGGTTTTGCTTTTTGCTTAGTGCCAGCAGAAAAGGTATAATCTTTAGTTACTTCATTTAATTTACCAATTCCCCCTACTATACTATACTCTCTATTACAAACAGGAATGAAATTCTAATACACAAGAGGAAACTCAAAACTTTCACAGCCTATGTTGGATTAAGCAATAAATAAGGTTTCCTCAGGTTTGGGGCCTCTGGCCCAATCGGGGTTTAGTGTTTCAGTGGAAGTTGCTCGAAGAATTTCTCTAAAATTTTCACAGAAGTGGCTACTAACCTAGAGTGCACATCAAATTCATCTGTGAAGCTTCTTAAAAATTTATCTGTCAGCTGGGCACGGTGGCTTGTGCCTGTAATCCCAGCACTTTGGGAGGCCGAGGAGGGTGGATCACCTGAGGTCAGGAGTTCGAGACCAGCCTGGCCAACATGGTGAAACCCTGTCTCTATTAAAAATACAAAAATTAGCCAGGCGTGGTGGTGCACACGTGTAGTTCCAGCTACTCAGGAGGCTGAGGCAGGAGAATTGCTTGAAACCAGGAGGCACAAGTTGTAGTGAGTCAAGATGGCGTTACTGCACTCCAGCCTGGGCAACAGAGCTAGACTCTGTCTCAAAAAAAAAAAAAAAAAGTTATCTGTCTAGGTCCACCACCCCTGAATATTTAAGTCAGTAGACCTGTGATTACGTCCAAATCTTTGTAAAAATTTCACAAATGATTCTAATTCTCATTCTAGCTAAAAACTCCATGGTCTAAATCTCTGACTCAAAACTGTTCAAGAGAGGCCGGGCGCAGTGGCTTAGGCCTGTAATCCCAGCTCTTTGGGAGGCTGAGGCGGGTGGATCACTTGAGGCTAGAATTCTAGACCAGCCTAGACAACATGGCAAAACTCTATTAAAAATACAAAAATTAGATGGGCGTGGTGGTGCACACCTGTAATCCCAGCTACTTGGGAGGCTGAGGCAGGAGAATCACTTGAGTTTGGGAGGTAGAGGTTGCAGTGGGCCGAGATCGCGCCACTGCACTCCAGCCTGGGCGACTCTATCTCAAGCAAAACAAAACAAAACTGTTCAAGAGAACAATGGTATCAGAGTTTTGTAATAAAAACTGTCAGATAAATCTTATTTTTATAATTTATATGCCATCTATATCCAAAAGAGAATCTAAGGTGGCAATCAATTAGAAGAGTGTCCACTTCAAACACAGGGTAGAGAGAATAATTAGATTCCATTTTAAAGGGCAAGGGTTCAAGCATTCTCCCTCTAACTAGAAGTAAAGGAGAATTATAGTCTACCTCACTATCTTGAATGTTCTCCTCACAGCCGGGCAGGGCCTGACACACAGCTTCAGTACACTGAGGACACAACCAAACCAGGTCTCGGAAAGCCTGCACCACCACTACAATACAGGCCAGGGTACAAAAGCACAGCATTAGAGCCTCCAGGTAGGGAGGAATCTTAAGAACAGTCATGTATTCAGACTCATGGTTCTGGCTGGATTTCTATAAAATGGGTTTTGGAGGTGTGGTCAATGGTTATCTAAGAAATGTAATGAAATGAGCAATAATTTCTTGACTGCATATTGCTCTTATCAGATTGATGTAAGGATAAATGAACTAATGTATGAAAAAGCACTTTGTAAAACGTAAAGCCGTATACAAATGTGTGTGGGGTAGTATTGCTGTTGAATGAAACACTAAAGACAGTATAAATGGAACCACCAGGCTTGGCTTGGGAAAATGATAAAGCAAGTGAGGTGCCTAGGGTTCAAAATTGAAGAAGACATGCAGGATTGGCTCTTGCAGGAACCTAAGACTGACTGCCTTCTTAAATTTTGCATCCTAGGCATCTTGCTTGACTTACCCTAGTCCCAACCCTGGAAGCCACTGCCTATGGCATACTGCCATAAAACAAAAGGAGAAGTAAAATTGGTGAAATATCAAGCAAGGTCATCCTAGTAGCCTTCATTGTCTATAGTACAGCCTTATAGACTCAAGGCAGCCTAAAGACTCAATATCCTATTAGATCTATAGACCCTATGCTTCTCTAACAGCAGCAGATGATGATGCAAGGAAAAGTTCAAATCTCTATATTATTCATTCAACAACAAACATGTTTTGAGCAACTACTATAAGCCAGGCACTTGACAAAAAAATCAAAAATCCTAAAAAGGCAGGCATTACCTGTGGTAATGTGCTCTTGTCGAAGACCCAGCAACTCTGTTAGAATCTGAACACATTGATCTGTGTAAGTCCTGGCAATGCCACCTACAAAAGAAGGGAAAGAAGAGAAAACTGCCAAGTGAAATATTAGTACCTCAATCTAAAATCATCTCCCACCAATCAAAGACAAAAGAAACAGAGCTATCTAAAAAAAAAAAAAGAAAAAACAAATCATTCTTTGATGAACTAAGAATATAAGTTTGCTATAAAGGGAACTCTGGTAAAAATCATTTTTTCTCACTGACTACTAGAAAATTAAAAGCTCATATCAAAACAATTCCCCATTAAACAAGGTTGAAAACTTATAGTAACAAAGGTATTTACATGGCAGCCAGATATGAGACACCCTTTTTGTTGCAGCACACTTGCAAAGGAGTATTTTTGCGGGGGACACTTGACAGCAGTCTCCTAAGGATTTCTAGTCTCCTCTTTGCTCCCTCTTCTCTGCCCCTACAATAACCATGTTTTATTCCAAATATGAGGGTTTCTCCTCCTCCTATACTTGAAATCCTTCAAAACTTAGCTCAACAGCTGTTTTCAGTTTTTGAGTCACCTCCAGCCTTTTAAATTCCAGACAGGGTACTATGAAAAAGTCTGTAAGATTTAGGAATTATTCTGTTTCTCTATATTCAGCATAATACACAGCCCATAGTAGAAGCTCAATAAACGACTGGTGGATTAACAAAGGACTTTGAGTCAGGAAAGTTGCGTTTCAGTCCCATTTCTAAAACTGTATGTCCTTTTGGCAACTTGATAACTGTTTTTGTGCCTGAGTTTCTTCATCTTTAAAATGAAGTTAATGACATTTGTCTACTTTTCCTGACTGTCTCATGAGACTGTGGTAAGATGACGTATAGGAAAGCATTTTGGATACAAGACAACAAAAATTTTAAGTATTGTAGTTTGAGTTACCTGTATTCTCCATCCTGGAAGATAGGGCAACACCAATCTTGACCAAAAAGAAAAAAAGAAAAAAAAACCAACTCTCTTCCCCCTTGTTTGTAGTCACTGACCCAATTATTTAGTGCATAGTACTTCGCTTCTGAAGCAAGATTCATGCCCTTTGCTCTCTATGGTTCCTCTAACCACAGCTTTCTCGCTGGCTGGTCTCTCAAGAAGGAAAAGCAGCAGACACCTACCTATGGCAAAGATGGCAGCCTGTGCAAAGTCCGCAGACACATCCGTGCAGTACCCTCGAAGCTCCTCTAGCACCTGCTGCACATTCTCATCGTTCACCAGCTCACACAGCACCTCCACTTTCTGTAGTTTGATGTAGTGGGGCTCCGAGTAGGAGCAAAAAAACTTTTTGTAGTGGCTGCTAAAGTGACCTGGTAAACTATGCAAGATCTGGCGTACATGACAAAGAGCAACAAAACACAGCTCACGGCTCTCCGAAGAACAGGCAGCTAGCAAAGGTCCCTTGACCCGCACAAGGACATCGGTTTGTACATGGGGAAACTTTTTTGCCAAGATCAGAAAAAGTTTGGTAGCTCCCATCACCACACCTGGGCTACTGCTCTTGAGAAAACTATCCAACAGATTGAGAATGTCAAATAGTTCTTCCTCACTGCGGGGTTGGTAGCGTAGCAGAAAGTTCAATACCTCAGCCTGGCCCCATTGGTCCAGTTTTGACATTCTATCCAAAAAAGAAAACAAAAGGGCTATTTTAGCAACAAAATTAGGGCCATTTCCATGCCACTGCCATATGACCAGTTGGTTGTTCATCATAACAAAGGGAGAATTCATAATTAAATCATTCTTTTCATGTACTATTTAAAGTTTACACAAAAAAGGCTTAAAATTCCAAGATGAGCTGTTAATACAAATGCACACTCATCTAAGACCAAAGACATGATCAGCATATGCTGGGTCCAGGTTCCCTACATTTTAAGACACTATAAATGGCTTAGTTTGGGGGACATAATGACTAGAGAAGGGTGGAACCTATTCCCACAGTATATTTCTATTTCCCTATATCAATAAGGGAAACTAAGGCAAATAAAAGAAATTCTCTAGTGAAATGTGAGGGAGTTAATAGTGGTTAACTGGCAGGGCACGGTGGCTCATGCCTGTAATCCCAGCACTTTCAGAGGCCAAGATGGGCAGATCACCTGAGGTCCGAAGTTTGGGACTAGCCTGACCAACAGGGAGAAACCCTGTCTCCACTAAAAATACAAAAGTAGCCGGGCATGGTGGTGCATGCCTATAATCCCAGCTACTCAGGAGGCTGAAGCAGGAGAATTGCTTAAAGCCAGGAGGCGGAGGTTGCGCTAAGCCAAGATAGTGCCGTTGCACTCCGGCTTGGACAACAAGAGCAAACCTCCGTCTCAAATAATAATAATAATGGTTAACTTTCTTTTCTACTTCACGTAAGTTGTTCAATACATCAACAAGATCCCACAAGGACGCAGATCTCATAATAAAAAGAGCACTGAGGCATCCATACCGATTTAAGAGATGGTGAGCAATGGGCTTATTGATGACAACGCCTCCTTCCAGTTTCAGAATTTCCTCTAGAGACCTCAAGCAGTTCACAACTACAATTGGATCCTGGTCACGCAGCAAACTGTATAATTCATTTACCAGGGCACCATCTATAAAAAAGAACAAAGTTCTTAGATAAAGAAGAAAAGCTTCAGAGTAACAGGGATGTAGCCAAAGTAATAGCTCCAAGTAGACAAAGTTGAACTTCTCTGCTACAAAAATGACAAAGGCCATACTAAAGTGCAAGGCAAAAAAAACCTGCCATGTCCAGACTGTTTTAAGCAGCTAATACAAAGGATCTCACTGGGGCCCGAGAGAAAGGACTTCTCATCTCCAGAAGATACCAAGCCCTGCATCCTACTTAAAGAGATATGTACAGAACTGGGGCCACATTATTATTTTCTACCAAAGCTACATAATCTTTTATAAAGTTATACATAATGGAGGCACATTGACCATGATGGATTACACTGAACTTACCTACTTCAGAGTCTCCATGAAGATTATGCATCTTGGCACATCCAAGGACTGCCACTCTCCTGACATACGAAGCCTTATCCCGCAGACCATTGAGAATAGGCTGTTGTATATACTCCTGCACACCAGGCATCCTAAGCAACACATCCTGGAGTCAGCCAGATTCGGAAATACTAATTTTGACATACATCGGCCCCTGTTGACCTAACAGAGAGTTTAGTAGATGCTACACCCATCAGATCATGAAGAATTGCAGAAAGCCTCTATCAAGCTTAAAAAGCCATAATTTGACGTTTTTGTTTTTCTCTTGTTTTTTTCAAGATGGGGATCTCACTTTTTCACCCAGGCTGCAGTGCAGTGGCCCAATCATAGGTCACCGCTGCCTCTAATTCCTGGGCCCAAGCCATCCTCCTGCCTCAGCCTTGCTAGCTAGTAGCTGAGACTACAGGTGCATGTCACCATGCCCATTTAATTTTTTGTAGATATAGGGTCTCACCATCTTGCCCAGCTGGTCTCGAATTCCTGAGCTCAAGCAGTCTTCCTGTCTCAGCCTCCCAAAGTGCTGGGACTACAGGCATGAGCCACTGCGCCCAGCCTAATTTGACTTTTCATTTGGAATAATGATGCACAGGCAGCAAAAAATATATACACATAATTGTTTAGAGATATTTAACCAAAATTGAGGACTATTTTACTTAGAGTGAGAATCAAAAACTCCCTGTAATAAAATTATATGATACAGGTTATTAAGCCAAAGCAGTGGCTGAAAATCTAAGTTCAGGGTACAATAATGTTTTCCCCAGTATTAAGGAGCTCAAATAAATTATCCTCTTTAAAAACCTACCCCGTGATTTCTTGAAGTCATCAGCCATTTAGGACCAGACAGAGAAAACGGTACTCACCTGAGGCTACACATGCTCCGTAACGCCAGCCCTCGCACCATTGGATTGGGGTCTGAGCAGTCTTTGCACAGCGTATTGATGGCCAGAAGAGCCAGATCTGGTTTCAGGGGAGCATATGTGCACATGTACAGATAAACCAACTTCTTCTGGACAATATCTACAGTGGCACTGGCCTTCACCATTTCCATAAAAACACCAGACATGTCCAAGCCCTGAGTCATGTACCTGAAACCAACGCACATGACAGAAAGAAGTAAAATGCAAAATCCTCAACTAACAATGGAGGGAGTTTTACTTACATATGTCCTGGTTACCCAACTAGCTTGTGATCTCTTAGAGGGTAGCAGCCAGGATTACCTTGTCTATTATATCACACAGTACTTCATACCATAGGCCTGCAATAAACATTATTCTTCTATTCATTCAACAAACACTTATTACTATTTTTGAGATGGAGTCTTGCTCTGTTACCCAGGCTAGAGTGCAGTGGCACAATCTCGACTCATTACAACTTCCGCCTCCCAGGTTCAAGTGATTCTCCTGCCTCAGCCTCCTGAGTAGCTGGGACCACAGGCGCGTGCCACCATGCTTGGCTAAATTTTTGTATTTTTAGTAGAGACGGGGTTTTGCCACGTTGGCCAGGCTGGTCTCGAGCTCCTGACTGCAGGTGATCCACCCGTCTTGGCCTCCCAAAGTGCTGGGATTACAGGCGTGAGCCATCGTGCCCAGCCTCAACAAACACTTATTGAATCCCTAGTACTTTGGTGAAATTCAACTTTTACATCCAGGGACATGCTCTTGGGACGTAATCTTGAAGAAGGTGTGGTCTCAGACCTCTAGGAACTTCAGATCTATTAATGAGCCAGATAAAAATACCGTTAATTATGGTATGATAAATAAGTATTTAAACAGAAGTATTGTACAAGGCACAGAGGGGATTCAGAGGTCAAACACCGGCAGGAAGTCAGAAAATGTTTCTTCACAGAGGAAGTAACACTTTACCAGAATGAGCAGGAGCTCATTACCCAGATGTAATAGATGTAACAGAAGGTATGAGGTATGTAGACATGAGCAGGAGCGGCATACATTTTTTTGAGTGTGTAGGTAGTTGAATTCAACAGCTTGTTCCTTGGGTGCTGTGGTAAGTTTGGACTTCATTGTTTCTCAAACTGGTCGCCTACTGGAATCAGCTGAGATGTTTATTAAAAATACAGATTCCTGGGTTCCCTCCTACCCTACTGAAATCAGAATCAATCCCTGGACTGGATGACAAAAAGCACCCCCAGGGATTTTTGTGCACAGTAAAGTTTGTGAACCATAGCTGTAGGCAAGAGTTATGTGTTCAGATTTGTATAATGCAAAAATTCTGTCTCAAATGAGGCAAGGTGGCCTACTAGTAAGCTGCTGCAATTGCTTTGGTGATGAAGGCCTGGACCAGAACAACAACGCCAATAAACAAGAGAGGATGGATATTTAGAATTATGAATTCAAACCATCTGACATGAGAAGTGGGGATTGGGTGTCCTCGAGGTTGGCTCCCACGCATAGTCGCTGCTGGTGGCATTCATCAACACAAATGTAAGCCGAAGAACAGGTTTGAGGAAGACGGAAGAATGTCCGTGCTATTTCGGACATACTTTTGATAAACCATGCACATGGAAATGCCAAGCAGGCAGTGGGATACGTGGGTCTGAAGCTAAAAAAAGAAGTCTGTACTAGCTATATTATAGATCCAGGAGTTAGCAGTAATTGTTCAAGCCTGTGATATGGAGGAAACTACCCAAGTAAGTAAAAGATGCTGCAGAGGAGAGACTGAGAGGGTACTCCAAAGCAGCAGGACGAAGACCGAACCATATAATTGCCACGTGTGAAAGCTAATTTACCCTTTCAGAGAGACTGGGGCTAGTGAGCCCTGATGGGGATTGCAAAGGGAGCAAACAGCACGCGACGGGAGTTAGGTGATACCTAATCACTCGCTGGATGACATTCCGGTAGCGCAGCCTATCAGCTTGAATGTGAGGATTGCACAAAGCCTTCTTCAGCTCCTTCACCACGTCCTCGGAGCCAAGGTACGGCATCTTCCTAAAAGTCACAGGGCAGCTCCCACAGCTCCCACGGTAACTCGTGGGCTCCTTCTCGTCTTGATGTGGGAGCCTGAGTAAAGGAAATATGAGTCAGTGAAAATACTAAAGACGAAATCTCGCCTCAGGCTCGGCTTCCGTAGGGCCGGCACGCTGGCCCTGACACACTTCCACGCCCTCCGCGACCCCGCGAGCCCCACCCTGGGCTCTTCAGGCCCTACCCTCGCCCGGCAGGCCGTTCGCCCCGCCCACGGATCGCTCCCGCTAACACTAGGCCCTCCGCCGGATTTCCAGCGCCGCGTCCGACTGACCGCAGACCCCTCCCTCTCCAGTTCCAGCCTTTCTTGCGCCTTCAAGCCGTTCTCATCGCAGATAGGCCCAATCTTCCTTTCTGCGGAAGTCCCGCCCCCTTGTCAAGAGACCAAACAGAAGCGCGCTGCCGGTCTCCCAGCGAGCCAGGGCTGAGCTTGGTCCCGACTCCGACCTTAGGATGCCCTTCCCCCAACCTCTCACCCTGCAGGCGCAGTCGCGCGGCTCCCTCTGGTGGAGCTGCGGCGGGCAATCGGAAATCGGCTACTTCGGCCTGTCTCCTCCCAGCAGCGCGCGCTTTGAGTGCCCGGCTTGGCCTCAGCTCCCGCGCGGTTGGGAGTGTCGAGCGCCCTCCGCTATTTGGGCTCCCGCCGGCACGGTCACTTCCTTTTTCTGCCCACTCTAGTGACTTATTCCTCTGCTGGGCTCTTTCCCTTAGGGTATCTGGCCCTGTTCTTGCCCCAGCATGACTTTTATCGGGGCGCTGTTGTGGAAGCCTCACGCAGGAGCCCTGCCCCCACGGAGAAGATCCCACTGGTGACTACAACCCTGCCACCATGAATGGGGTCCTGATCCCCCATACGCCCATTGCAGTGGACTTCTGGAGCCTACGTCGGGCTGGCACCGCACGGCTCTTCTTCTTGTCTCACATGCACTCGGACCACACCGTGGGCCTGTCTAGCACCTGGGCCCGGCCCCTCTACTGCTCCCCGATTACAGCCCACCTCTTGCATCGTCACCTACAGGTATGGGGCTGGAGTCAGTCTCTGAGAGGTGGTCCAGGCATCTGGGTTGGGACTTCGACCTGTCATTCTTTGAGTCATAGAATGGCCACCAAGACTGATGCGGAAGTTGTTTGAACCCAAAAATGCATCTTTAACCCAGAATAGGAACGTGGTTTCCAAGTGACCAACTTGAGATATTTAGCTATAAGTTGAGGAGATATTTTAGTCCAGCCAAGGAAACTATTGCTACCTTTATACATAAGCTAGGCTGATGTTTCCCAAACTTGCCTTTTTTTTTTTTTTTTTTTTTCTGATACGGAGTCTCGCTCTTGTTGCTGCCAGGCTGGAGTGCGGTGGCACGATCTCAGCTCACTACAACCTCCGCCTCCCGGGTTCAAGAGATTCTCCTGTCTCAGCCTCCTGAGTAGCTGAGATTACAGGCGCACGCCACCACGCCCAGCTAATTTTTTGTATTTTTCGTAGAGACGGGATTTCACCATGTTGGCCAGGCTGTTCTCAAACTCCTGACCTTAAGTGATCCGCCCACCTCAGCCTCCCCAAGTGCTGGGATTACAAGCGTGAGCCACTACGCCCCGCCTAAATTTGCCTTATCTTAAGAATCCACCTAACGTGCTGGGTGGTTCTCCAGCTCTCTCTCCACCCCACCCTTAAGTCTCCAAGATATTAAGATCAGGAGTAAGTTTGAAAATTGCTGACTAGACTGTTTGCTGAACTCTTCCCCCCACCCCACCCAGTCGGAGTGTCCCTCTGTTGCCCAGGCTGGAGGGCACTCCGTTCACTGCAAGCTCCGCCTCCCGGGTTCACGCCATTCTCCTGCCTTAGCCTCCCGAGTACCTGGTACTACAGGTGCCCGCCACCTTTTTTTTAATTATTATTTTAAAGTAGAGATGGGGTTTCACCGTGTTAGTCAGGACAGTCCCGATCTCCTGACCTCATGATCCTCCCGCCTCGGCCTCTCAGAATGCTGGGATTACAGGCGTGAGCCACCGCGCCCGGCCAGCTGAACTCTTAATTAAGTTGTACAAAGGGTGGGATGGCGAGTGGAAGGAGGAAGGGCAGATTGCTTGGGAATCCCCATTACAGCTTCTGCTCCCGGTGACTCAGGATTTGGTCAGCTTTCCTGATTCATGTAAAGCATAGTCCCTGACCTGGGGAAGTAACAGGGAGGGGAGTCGGTGGTCACTGGGATGACTAACTGTTTTCTCAGGTATCTAAGCAATGGATCCAACCCCTGGAGATTGGTGAGAGCCATGTATTACCCTTAGATGAAATTGGACGAGAGACCATGACTGTAACCCTCCTCGATGCCAATCACTGTCCTGGTTCTGTCATGTTTCTCTTTGAAGGATATTTTGGAACCATCCTCTACACAGGTGGGCCTCTCAAGGAATCCCAGTGACTTCTCTAGACTTACTTTTTTTTTTTTTTTTTTTAAATGTATAGACTGGGGCCTCGCAATATTGCCCAGGCTGGTCTCAAACTCCTGACCTCAAGTGATCCTCCCGCTTCAGCCTCCCTAGTAGCTAGGATTATCAGCACAAGCCACCACACCTGGCAGACTTTTCTTGAGCAGCCTTAACTCAATAGAAGTCTGGAGGCGCTGAAGGCCTTCTAACTTCATCACATATGAGCATAGTGACCCCATCTCAACTGATTTCCCACTCTTTTTTTTTTTTTTTTTTTGAAATGGAGTTTCACTCTTGTCACCCAGGCTGGAATGCAGTGGTGTGATGGTGGTTCACTGCAACCTCTGCCTTCTGGGTTCAAGTGATTCTCTTGCCTCAGCCTCCCAGGTAGCTGGGATTACAGGTGCCCACCACCACACCCAGCTAATTTTCGTATTTTTAGTAGATACTGGGTTTCACCATGTTGGCCAGGCTGGTCTCGAACTCCTGACCTCAGGTGATCCACCTGGCTCGGCCTCCCAAAGTGCTGGGATTATAGGTATGAGTCACTGCACCCAGCCAATTTCCCACTCTTTAAGGGTCCAAACCTTGTGAAGAGTAATTGAAAAACAGGAGCAAGATGGAGATATTTCAACAAAGAAACCATGCAGCTATACTGCATAGTTCAGTGCCAGGCTACATAGTTTTTTCACAGACTAGTAAGCAAACACCCATCTATTGTTGGAGGTAGGAGAGGCTTGTCTTCTGTTTTTTTGTCTCTGACCTTCTGCCCCCATATACATATTCTAGGTGATTTTCGATACACACCATCCATGCTAAAGGAGCCAGCCCTGACACTGGGGAAACAGATCCATACTTTATACCTAGACAACACCAATTGCAACCCAGCCCTGGTTCTTCCTTCCCGACAAGAAGCTGCCCACCAGATTGTCCAGCTCATTCGAAAACACCCACAACATAACATAAAGATTG